ATCACCAGAAGGCTAAGAAGAATGTTAGTTTAGCTATGTCTAGCAATTCAACTGTAAACCATGATTTGTGGGCTGTTGATAGTGGAGCATCGCAATGCATTACTAAAAATATGGAGAGGTTTGTAAAGATGTGTACGAGTAAGCAACATGTATCATTGGCAAATGGATGGAAGATGAAAGCGTCTGGTGAAGGTACTGCATATGGTTTCTGCTATCTCATGAAAAACAAAACAGAAACATTCCAACATTTCTTTAACTGGCTAAGATTTACTGAGTGAAAAATGAGGAGTAAAGTAATTACTTTAGTTACTGATAACGGGACTGAGTTTATTAACTAGAGATTCCAAACTATGTTGAAATTGGCTGGTGTCGAGCATAAACGTTCTGCACCTTACAGACCACAACATAACTCGTTTGTAGAATGAAGAGGGCAAACATTACAAGCCATGGCTTGCACTATGTTATCTGATTCAGGTTTGCTTGAAACACTGTGGGGTGAAGCCATAATGTGTAGTAACCATGTTTTAAACAATGTGGTGAATACAACTGGTGAATTGCCATTCACTCGTTGGCGTGGCAAAAAACCAAATTTAAGTTACCTTCACACATTTGGAGCTCCAACATGGGTGCATATTCCCTCACAAGTAAGACTGAAAGGGCAACATAGAGCTAAGAAATTATTTATTGTAGGTTACAAAGCCAACCATAGATTGTTTAGATTTTGGGAACCAGGCACAGCTCATGTTTATTATAGCGCTAGTGCAAAATTTCTTGAGCGCATTGGATGGAATAAACTGGAACAGGAATCCAGCAATGATATTATTATTGACAGCCAAATAGTCCCTAAAGATGAATTAAGTAAACCACGAATAGCCATTGAAGAGGAAGAACAGGCACAAGAGGAAGTAGAAGAACAGGCACAGGAAGAAATAGAAGAACAGGAGCAGGTGGAATGGGAGAGTCCACCAGTAAGCCCTGTATTACCAAGACATTCTACCTGAGTAACACGACGACTTGATAGATATCAGGCTAGTGTTGTATGCCAAGTGAATACAGTTCCTGGTAACTATAATGAACCAAAACTGTATCCTGCTAAGGATCAGGCTGCTTGTCAGGAAGCAATGGATAAGGAACTTGAATCATTAAAAAAGTTGGAGGTATATGAAAATGTCAAGTTACCACCAGGTAAACATGCCATAGGATGTAAATGGATGTATAAGTTTAAGGCAGGTGTGGATGGGACTGTTACCCATAAAGCCAGGTTAGTAGCACAAGGGTTCAGTCAGACAGCAAATGACTATGATGAGGTGTTTCCACCTAGTCTGAGGGCTACTACATTACGAGCAGCATTAGTGTGGGCAGCTAAGGAGAAATGCATTATAAATCATTTAGATGTAGAGACGGCATATCTGCATGCACCGTTGCAACACACTATATATTTAAAGAAACCTTTAGGTATCAAAAATGATAATACAACTGATTGCTGGAGATTGAAAAAGAGTCTTTATGGCTTAAAGCAATCAGGATATGAGTGGAACCAGTGTATAGTTAAGGAATTAACTAAGATAGGTTTTTTAGCTGGCATGGCTGATTCACGTTTGTTTAAAAAGGAAAGTAATGGTGTAGTGTCATTGTTGCTTTGGTTTATTGATGACATAGCATTAATCACCAAAACTGAACAAGAAGCAACTGAACTAATATCACTGTTAGAAAAGAAATTTAAAATAAAACAGTTAGGTGAAATCAAACAATATCTTGGTTTAAGGACAGATAAAACTAGGGGAGGCTACAAAATCTCACAGGCAGATAAAATTAACCAATTACTAAAGAATTTTAAAATGGAACTTTGCAAGCCGGCTAAAACACCGATGAGCCAGGAGTTTAGCCATAGTGATGTTCAAAGTCCTATTTTTGATAAGAACATTTATCAGTCCTTGATTGGTAGTTTATCTTATCTCAGTAATTGGTCAAGTCCAGATATAGATACAGTGTTAACCAATTAGCGACATTTAACACTGAGCCAAATGAAAGGAACTGGCAAGCTGCTACGCGTGTGTTAAGATATCTGAAACAAACAATGCATTATGCATTGTATTTGGAGCCTAAAGATGAACTAAGTCTAACTGCATGTGCCGATGCAAGTTTTGCTACAGACGTAAATACACCTAAATCGACATTGGGTACTATAGTATTATTGGGAAAGGTGTTGATTGGATGGAAGTCTATTCGACAGAAACATTTAAGTTTGTCAACAGTGGAGGCTGAATTCTCATGTTTGTCTTTATTATGTATATATTTAGTTTTTTATAAGCAACTATTAATTGATATGGGAATTGATGTAACAGATTCTATTGTTTTTCATGAAGACAACCAATCAGCAATACAGATGGCTTCAAATATTGCTGTTAAGACACGACACACAGATCTAAGATATTTAAATGTGAGACAATGTGTGCAAAGTAAGATGATTAAGCTGGAATACTGTATGTCAGAAAATAACATTGCAGATCATTTTACAAAAGCCCAAGGCTATGTAAAGCATAAGGCTTGCTGTGAGGATTATGGATGTAGAATGTAAGGTTGTATATATTGTCCTACCCAAAAGGGAGAATGTTAGGAATGTAAGTCACCTAACAGTTGGGTTGGAAAATATATAAACCAGGATAGACATTTTAATACTGTCTCTTTAAGGGAATGCTAAAATTGTAATTGGGTGTGGTTCCTCAAACGGCCATAAGGTGGAGCTAGAAACCTGGGTTGTTCTGTCCTTTTCTGGAGAGTGTTGCCATTCCTGCATTGACTGTTGCTGATCATCGTTAGTCTTGATTTGATGTGAGTCTATTACTGAACTGTTTTTGATACTGGACTTTGTTATTGGATTATCCCTGGACTGAAAACTGACTGCTTTAACCATGAATGACTTGGACTGTTGGTTGACTGTTGGTTTTACTGGAAGTAAAAACCTACATTTTACAATATAGTGTATTTGTGTGCTAGTTGTGTGTTATTCTTCACTACTCTCACTACGTCTCCCTGTGTGCTCTCATTCTCCTAACAGGGAATTACCTCAACAGGGTGCCCAACAAATTTTACTCCCATGTTCTGGGGTGGTTAGAAGTCGGGTACTTGGTATGACTGCTGGTTCTTCAGCTTGTCTCACTGCCCGATCATTCTCATCTGGATCCAGGGTGGCGGCTCGAGTTCTCTCATTTTCTGGTTCCCTCACTCTCCTGTGTTGGTGTCCTGGTGCATCCCTCACCTCAAAATTCTCCAGGGCTTCCCTCACTAGGCGATTTATGTATCGTCTCAGTCAGTCATCAGCTGGTGACTCCTTGCCCCATTCTTCCTGATCCAATAGGGCCTCCAGCTACAATTTCTACCAGGGTTTATGATTACCCCAGGTGAGGGTTATTCCCCTGGTTCTTCCATCCCAGCTGTCTCTTTTTCCTACACCTATAGACCACCAGGGCTTTGTGGAGGTTTCTCAGGCAGCTTCGCTATCTTCGATGGGGTACATTGAGTCAGTGTCTGGCTGGGTAACTGTCAACGTTTCTCCCCAGCATTCAGCTTCCCCTTGATCCTTGCTGTATTCAGACATTTTTCTTTTTTTGCAGGGTCCCCTCAGTAGAGTGAAACTTTTTTTTTTAAAAAAAAATTCCTCTCTGGGCTGACCTCTATTGCAGATGCTGCTTTATGTCAGGCTACAGAACTTTTCCCATTCAATCAACAAGAATGAACTTCAGAAAATGAAACATATCAAAAGGAATCCTTCATTGAGATGAGACAATTCATGGAGGGATTAAAAGTAGCATCTAACGTGCCTCAGGCATGCAGGGATAGATAAAGGGGTTGAGACCCCTCCCCTTCTCTTGATGTGTATTTAGTAAAACAAAGAGCCAACATGTTTATTCCCTCCCCCCTTTCTGAGAATGATCTTTTTTGAAGTTCCCAGGAGACATCTCCCAGCAGGAATTTTTATGGTCTTATCATCCTGTAGCTGTCTCTTTCAGAGGTGATAGGTTTCTGGGTATCTGGTTTCCATTCCTCCATAGTATATCATGGGTTATTCAAATTCAATATAAGATTTAATATATTCATGTTACATCAAAAATGATTTCTTATACCAACTTCCCCCCCTGCTTCTTCTTTCAAGAAGAATGGCAGATACACAGATCTGACATCTAATATCCTAGTAGACCATCACTTAGGTATAAGCCAACAGAATCCTGCAGTTGTCAAAAAAACAACAACCCAAAACCAGCCCTAGGTTGCATCAACAGAGGGATAGTTTCAAGATCACGTGAAGTGATAGTATCACTTTATACTGTACCGGTGTCACCACACTTAGAATACTGCATCCAGTTCGGGACACCATGACAAAAAAAGCTGTTGAGATCCTAGAAAAAGGACAGAGAAGAACAACAAAAATGATAAAGATCTGAAGGCTAAACCATCTGATGGACAATTGAGGGAATTAGGTATGTCTAGTCCACAAAGAGGAGGGTAGGCATGATTATGATAGCAATATTCTAGTACTTAAGGGGTATTTTGGGAGGAAGGGGTGGAAAAACTATAAAAAGTGCAAATGGCAAAATGGCATTATGACTTCACCCTTTTATGGTCATATGAAATCAACACATGTAAAAAGGTGTATTTCTTTCATCACCTTGTCATGCCTTGGGTGGGTGGGTGGATAGATGGATAATGGATAGATAAATGGTAGATCGATGATAGACAGACAGACAGATACTGTTAGATTACCTCTCCCTCCCAGATATCCTGTTCTAGGAATTTTCTTGTAACAGAGGGTAGTGTCCTATGTTTTAATAAATTCCTCTCTCAGTTCTGAATAGTGTATCTCTGCAATTGTCTTTTAATCTCTACAATGTAATCTTACTATTCCTAAATGTTGCTTTTGCAGATTTAAACATAAAATTTGAAACTGACTAGTTCAGACACTGTACCACTTTTTTCACAATTTGACTTCGGTTTGTCATTAGGAATTGCTCTGGCTGCACTGGACAATATGAATCCTTCAGAGCAGATGGTGGTGAAATGTGCAGCTGTCATTGGTGTGACATTCACTACAGAGATGCTGCTTTATATTCTCCCGGAATGGACAAAAAGGAAAATGTACCAAACTCTGGCAGCACTGGTGGAATCCCGTATCTTTAAGTGTTGTACTGAAAGAAAAGAAGTGAATGTAACCCAGCGCATGTTATCTAAAGAGTTCAGCATCAGCAATAATGAATTGAAATCACGTAGGCCAGAATCAGGTAAGTTGGTTATTGAAAAATTAGAAATCTCTGAAGCACCAGTTTACTCAAAGGGCATGGAAATGATTGAACAACATTATTGCATTCTGTGCATCAAATTCATGTTAAATTGGTGCTGAAATCTTAAATGTTAGTACTTAACTTTGATTTTTATAGGAACACACAGTAGTCAAATAAAATAAAAGTAATATTTTATAATATGTCTGTCTTCATATAAATCCTTGACAAGTAAATTATAGTACCCACTCACCATGTTCAGATTGTGTTCACTAACATAATTGGAATAAGTATCACAAGAAAATTAGCTGGTGTAGTCATGTTCTTAAATCTAATCAGAAATAGAACATTAGCTATTCCTACACAATGGTAGATTTATGCAGGATGATTTCATTCTTTGATGGTGCAAATACTAAGACTACCTTATTTTTCAGATCTTGGATCAGTTATTTCTAATAGGCTCAAGCTAGAAGAGGCTGTGATGCATTGCAAAATCATGGAGTTTTGCACACCACTGTTGCAAGAAGCAGCTTATGAATTGTGGCTTAAGAATCAGAAAAAAGCCTTGCATTTCAAATGTGCCAGTTATCTGAAGTGGCTAGCTCACCGATGCAAGTGTTGTGGGGAAGGTGATTTCATTCCTTATCATCGGTATGCAGTAGATGGCATGCTTCAAAAATTCTATTCACAGGAAGATAAAATTAAGAATATCAAAGAGGATGTGTTGAATGAGGCTGCTGTGATCCTTGTTTCAGAAACCCTTAAAAAATTGGAAGCATCCCACCAGGAAGGTAGGTATTAATTTGATGGTGCTGGTACAGCAACCTCAACTCTCAGTTTAAATATTTTCCTTGAAAATTGCCAAAATAGACTCTCACAAGTTAGCAGAGAACTATAGAAATTGTAGTCATTTTTGTGGAAAGCTCAAATATCAGAACAAGAACAATACATAGGAAAATATCAACAGAAATAAATAACAAATGAAACCAGAATGGATTTGCAGAACCACAAAGCTGAAAAGAGATGATTCCAAGTAATTTGGTTCAGTCATCTCTGCTTGGTGTGTTTTACACAGAAGTTATATTTCCCCCTATTTGAATAGGTTGGCATCATTGTTTATTTACAATGGAGAACCCAGTTCAGGCAGTGGGTAGAGCTGAGATTAAGAAATATGTCTTAAAACTGTGTTTTGCTTTTTCCATTTACAGCATTTAACTGCAGAAGTATTTTCCATTTGTGTGTGTGTATCTGTGCCCATGTTTTGGGAATAGGCAATTCTCAGTCATCAGAACTGTGCTCTAAGGCTGCTTTCCATACATGATACCAAATTATCTCTCTGTACATTTTTAAATGAATAAAACTAATGCAAATTTTAAAAGGAAAAAGTAAAGAAAGTGAAGTGAAGAAGTGCAAATAAAGAAACAGAAAAAGAAAAAAGAAAAGGAGAGGAAAGATGATAAAGATGCAGCTTCCAAGCTTATCAACAGCAGTTACAAGTATATTTATATTTTATGTCCTCACCCTAAAATTACAACTTGATTTCCTTTTTTCCATAGTCTATCCTTTCTTATCATCAAAGTTCATGTTTTTCTTGTTTCAGCAAAAAATCCATAAGGTGTAATAACTTAGCAATATCTTTGAAATCTTGCTGCTTATGTGTGAGATCTCAAATTATGGTAAAGTAGTCTTCAGGTCTCTATCTATTTGGCAAGTGTTGAGAATCAAGAGAGGAAAAATGCATTTTCATTATCACATAAGAAAGGACTTTTCCAAAAGAGAGGTAAAAGTCAAATTATCCTTTGAAAGAACTCTCTACTGTAGCCTTAATCATATATTCAGTCTGAGTCCAAATGGAACACCATTGTTACTAATAGGATCAATTCATAGGGCAAGGCACTATTTTTCAAATCACCACTTCCTTGGTCCAGCTGACTCAATATTACCAGGTGGGTATGGTTGGGTAGGTACAGCCATCTCGGCTCTGCTGACTCATATTGGCTGGGTTGGCACAGAACAAGTTGCACTGGCTAACTGAACAGGGGGACAACTTGGTGCCCCACAAGATCATCATCTCCACAAACTGCTCATATCCAAGGGCATGCGTGCATGTATATACACATACATACACACACAAGCACACATACCATTCCAAGTTTGGGGACTTTTATCCACAGAAGGAGAGGTCCTCCCCCCCCAAAGCTCATGCATGGTTGCCAACTTATCAATTCAGATGTGGATAAAAGTCTCCAAGCTTGGAATGGTGTGTGTGTGTGTGTATGTGTCTGTGCATGCACGTACCTAGTAATGCCAAAGGAGATGTTCTTCTCCCAATTCCAAATATCCGAGTGTTGTGGCTCTGAGTCCTGAGCCTGCATTGTTAGAGGAAGAGGACTCGGAAGATGAGGAGGAGGAATTGGGAATGCCTTCCTCCCCAGGACCTTCCTCTTCGGCAATGCCTTCCTCCCAGATAATACCTCAGGTTTCAGCAGATAACCGAGAGGGACAGCCTGAGACTAATCAGGAGGAGGAGGGCATATCAGAGCAGCCTCTGACAGGGAATCAAGTAGACGAAGGTTGGCTTGATGCTAGGCAGCGTCGCAGGAAGTAGTATGAGCTGCAGCGTAGGAGGCGTGGACGAATCAGAGAGTGAGCTGAGTCATGGAGACACACCCCACAAGGGATTAAAGTGGGTGTGTTTTCTCTGGAAACTCTGTACAGGACAAAGTGTTACTTTTTCTGTCAGGCCTCGGTGTATTTTGTTTCTTGAAAGCTTTAGTGATTAATGTTTCTGGTTATCTCGTCAGACTTGGCAGGCAGCGTTTGTGATAATGCCAAGAACCTTGTCTGCTTAAAGGAATTAACTCTGTAAATACTGAATCTTCTTGCCTGCCTGTATTTTGTCGGAGTTTGGACTTTTCATCTTCCTTGGAAAGGTGAGACATAACATTTTTGTCCCGTACCAGACTTAAACCATTTTTTGCCCAAGATGGACCACCACCACCAGCAGCAGCAACAGCTGCAGAATGAAAACCAGGCTCTGCAACAGCAGGTGGCCCAATTAATAGCTCAAATTGCTCTGCTGCAGGCTCATGCTGCTCCTCCTGCCCCTCCCTGTCGGAAATGCCCGGTGGCTGTGCCGGATAAGTTTTCTGGGCCTGAGATGTTCCTGGCTTTCATGGGACAGTGCCAGTTGTTTATGGCTATGAGGCCAGAGGATTTCCCAGATGACCGGGCTCGGGTGGGGTTTGTGATAAGCCTCCTTTCTGGCTCGGCTGCCAGATGGGCCACACCTTTGTTGCTCCAGAACAACCCGTTATTAATGGATTACCAGGGGTTTTGGCAACACATGCGCCACATGTATGAGAACCCCATATGAGTGCAGACGGCAGCCAGGCGTCTGAAGGAACTTCGCCAAGGGAAGTGCCCCCTGCAGGAATTTATTTCAGAATTTTGGCTTGTATGTCTGGATTCCAATTGGAATGATGCAGCCTTAATGGACGCCTTCCAGGATGGCCTGTCAGATGAGCTGCAGGATGAGTTAGTTCGAGTGGAACCAGCCCCGACCCTCGACGCTCTGGTGGTGCAATGCTTGCGCATCGATGCCCAACTTCAATGGCGCAAGACCTGTTGTACCGTCCAGGAGTAGCATCTGTACCGCAGCGCCCTGTGCAACCAGCGCCCCGGGTCACCCAACGTGTCATGGCAATGGCTGAGGAGCCAATGGAGTTGGGAGCAGTCAGACCTCGCCTGACGGCCCAGGAGCAAACATGGAGATGCCAAGGAGGTTTGTGCTTGTATTGTGGGGGGGGGGGGTGCAGGACATTTTGCTACTTCTTGTCCTATAAAGCGAAGGGGGGCACTCAAGCCTGTGCCTGAATCTCAGCCTGATCAGTTGGGAAATGGGGCAGGCCCAACCTTGGGGGAAACCCTCGGCCAGGCACGTATCAAACGTCAGCCTGAATTAGCAGAGGTTGACTCTGGGCCCCTTCGGCATCTGCTTTTGGACACTCGGGTTTTCTTGGCTAACCAGTCAGAAGGGATTTCAGCGACTGCGTTGGTGGACTCGGGGGCCACGACTAACTTTATGGACCAGGACTTTGCAGCCCATTTTGATGTCCCCTTGGTTCTGGTAGACCCTCCGATGAGGGTCGAGACTATTGATGGGCGGGAACTTCTTGCGGGACCCATTAAATTAGCTACCCAGCCTTTGCACCTGGTCATTGGAGACCATGAGGAGGCGATCCGCTTTTATGTCACCACAGACCTCCATTTCCCATTAGTCCTTGGCATGGCTTGGCTTCAGATTCATGATCCTCAGGTGGCATGGTCACGAAAAACCATTTCTTTTCCGAGTCTGCAGTGCGTGGACCACTTACGCCACACCTGTGCTGGCCAGTAAATCACCACCCCTGCCGTCTCCATACCTCCTGAACTGATGGATTTTTCGGATGTGTTCAGTGAGAAGGAGGCGGACCAGTTACCCCTGCATCGGCCCTATGATTGCCCAGTGGACCTTCTTCCCAATGTACCACTGCCAAAGGGATGTTTATACTCCATGTCCAAGCCCGAGTTGGCCACCCTACAGGACTTTTTGGACAAAAACTTGGCCCGAGGGTTCATCCGGCCTTCATTGTCCCCTCTCTCAGCCCAGTTTTCTTTGTGAAGAAGAAGATGGGAGACTTATGCTTGTGCTGCGATTACCACCAGTTAAACACCATCACGGTGTGGAATAGCTACCCCTTGACGCTCATTCCGGAGTTGTTGGAGAGGTTGCGGGAGGCCACTATCTTCACCAAGCTCAATCTTCGAGGGTCCTACAACCTGGTGCGGATGCGAGAGGGGGACAAATGGAAGATGGCATTTGGCACCCGATACGGCCATTTTGAGTACACTGTGATGCCGTTTGGGTTGACCAATGCCCCCGCAGTCTTCCAGCACCTGATGAATGACGTGTTTCGGGACATGTTAGATTGGTTCATGGTGGTGTACCTGAATGATATTCTGATCTATTCCGGGTCCAGAGACAGCCACCTTCACCACGTTCGTCTGGTTTTGCAACGCCTTTGGGAACACCAACTTTATGCAAAGTTGGAGAAATGTCTTTTCTTCCAGACTTCCATAGAGTTCCTTGGGCACATCATCTCTCCTGAAGACATCGCCATGGACCCATGTAAGGTTGAGGCCTTGTGCAGTTGGAAACCGCCTCGTCGTGTGAAGGATGTTCAACACTTATTGGGGTTCGCTAACTATTACCGGACCTTCATCCTGGGTTTTGTCAAGCTGACAGGTCCAATAACCCAGCTCCTTCGAAAGAAGGTTCCGTTCCGGTGGGGCTCCCCGCAGCAACAGGCTTTTGAGGCCCTCAAGAAGGCCTTCATCGCAGAACCTGTCCTGAGGCATCCTGATCTGCATCGTCCTTTTGTGGTGGAGACAGATGCATCCAACGTGGCTATTGGGGCTGTGTTGTTGCAAGCCCCGGTGGATAGCATCACTCTTTTTCTCTGTGCTTACTATTCCCAGAAACTCACTCCTTCCGAACGCAATTACACCATCTGGGAAAAAGAGTTGCTGGCTATCAAGGCTGCGTTTGAGACTTGGCAACATCATCTTGAGGGAGCCCAACACAAGGTGGAGGTCCGGATGGACCATCGGAATTTAGAACACTTGTCAATGGCATGAAAGTTGAACCAGCGGCACATCAGGTGGTCATTGTTTTTTGCCCGGTTCAACTTTTTTGTGACCTATATCCCCAGTGGTCACAATCGGAGGGCAGATGCCCTGTCCCGCAAACCTGAGTACCTTTGCCTTGAGGACCCCATTCCTCTGCGGATGGTGCTGCCAGCAGAATCTTTGGCCATAGTCCACAACCGGTGGATTTGCAGACTCAGGTGCGAGAGGTGCAGCGCCTAGACGCTTGGTCGCAGCAGAAGATGGGGGAGACTGGACCTGACTCCCCATGGACTTTGGAGGAGGGCTTACTCAAGCATCAGGGCTGGTTGTACGTACCCACGGGGCTGCTTCAAGCCCTTATTATGACTCAGTGTCACGACAACCCTGCAGCTGGACATTTTGGGTTTTTTAAGACCCTCCATCTTGTCATGCAGACTTTTTGGTGGCCTCAAGTATGGCATGATGTCCATGCCTATGTCACGTCCTGTGTACCGTGCAGGCAAGCGAAAGCCGTGACGGGTGCGCCTCCTGGTCTTCTCCAACCTCTGCCGAATCCGGAAAGACCATGGGGAGCAATTTCCATGGACTTCTTGATTCATTTGCCATCATTTTTGGGATTTACGACTGTGCTCGTAGTGGTCGACATGTTAACCAAAATAGCCCACTTTATTCCATGTCGTAAATTGCCTTCGGCCCGTACTACTGCCCAGTTGTTTTTGCAGCATGTTTTTCATCTCCATGGTCTGCCAGACAGGGTAGTTTCTGATCGCGGTGTCCAATTTACAGCCCAATTTTGGAAGAGCCTGATGACCACGTTACAGGTGCAGGTCTGCTTGTCGTCGGCACACCATCCAGAGACTGGATGGCATTCTAGAACAATATTTACATTGTTTTGTCAATCAACAACAGAACAATTGGGTTGCTTATCTCCCTCTGGCGGAGTTTGCCTTCAACAACTCCCAGCACACCTCCACCCAAATGACACCATTTTATGCGAATCTGGGTTTCCATCCGTGGTTATTTCCGTTGTCACTCTTAGATTCCCCAGTTCCTGAGACCCAGGAATTCCTGTCGGAACTACATTCTGTTCAACAATTAATTTGACAGCAATTGATACGGGCCAAGGAAGACTATAAGAGGTTCGCAGATCACTCTCTATGGGCGATGCCTCCGCTGGCTGTGGGAGACTGTGTGTGGTTGTCCACAAAACAACTTCAGATCGACCGCCCGATAAAAAAGCTGGACCATCGGTTCATTGGCCCCTTTCCCATCGAGGTGGTCATCAACCCCGTAGCCTATCGATTGACTCTACTGCGCTCCATGTGAATTCATCCTGTCTTCCACCATTTCCTTTTGATCCCAGACACCCCTTCATGTAATCTCTGACCTCCTGCAGCTGATGATCCATCACCTATATCCGATCATGATAATGCAGTTGACGGCATAGTGGTCAGCATTTGGGATTCCCGCTCATTGAAAGGACGGTACCAGTATTTGATCGAGAGGCAGAGGGATGGACTGGAGGCCCTTTCCTGGGTGGATGCTTCCACGTTCCACGCCCCGGACCTTATATGGAGGTTCCATGACCAGTTCCCCTTGAGGCCACATCCTGACCATCAGACTCGGGGGAAGGGCCCTGCGGTGAGGGATAGTGTTGTGGTTCCGAGTCCTGAGCCTGCATTGTTAGAGGAAGAGGACTCAGAAGATGAGGAGGAGGAATTGGGAATGCCTTCCCCCCCAGGACCTTCCTCTTCGGCAATGCCTTCCTCCCAGATAATACCTCAGGTTTCAGCAGATAACTGAGAGGCACAGCCTGAGACTAATCAGGAGGAGGAGGGCATATCGGAGCAGCCTCTGACAGGGAATCAAGTAGATGAAGGTTGGCTTGATGCTAGGCAGCGTCGCAGGAAGAAGTGTGAGCTGCAGCGTAGGAGGTGTGGACGAATCAGAGAGAGAGCTGAGTCATGGAGACACACCCCACAGGGGGATAAAAGTGGGTGTGTTTTCTCTGGAAACTGTACGGGACAAGGTGTTACTTTTTCTGTCAGGCCTCGGTGTATTTTGTTTCTTGAAAGCTTTAGTGATTAATGTTTCTGGTTATCTTGTCAGACTTGGCAGGCAGCGTTTGTGATAATGCCAAGAACCTTGTCTGCTTAAAGGAATTAACTCTGTAAATACTGAATCTTCTTGCCTGCCTGTATTTTGTCGGAGTTTGGACTTTTCATCTTCCTTGGAAAGGTGATACATAACATCCGAGCATTAGCATTTCCCTGTCTGGTGCCTCCTCCCAGCAAACAGGAAGTGGAGGGTGCCGCTGCTACACATGAAAGCGTGCAGGAGAAAGTTTGCAGGAAGCAGTTCCCTCTGTGTCCAACTTCTTCCTTGACAGATCTTGGAGAAAAGGAGGGGGTAGAAGGGGAGATGCACAGAGCTGGCTGGACAAGCAAAGCAGCAGGAGGAGGGCAGGGTTGGGATTAAAAAATCCCAGCAACCAGTTTGCTGCCCGGTTGCTAGGTGGGCATGGCCATGTGGGCGTGGTCCACTGGAACTTCCTGTTTCCAGCTTCTGGTGGGGCTCCAGAGCCCAGGGGAGGCAGTTTTCACCCTCCCAAGGGTCTGGAGGCTTCCGTGGGCCTCTGGAAGGGTGAAAACAGCCTCCCCCGGGCTCTGGAGAACCACTGGAAGCCAGAAACAGGGCTGTTTTGGTACTTCCAGTTTTAGTGGGAGGGCCGTTTTTCATCCTCCCAAGGGTCCAGAGGCTTCTTTCAGGCTTCTGGCCCTGGGCTGTGGAGGCTCTGCAGAAGCCGGAAACAGGCCCATTTCCAGACTTTCCCCCTCCCAGAGCCTCTGTATGGACCCTACACTTACCTCTATCGAAAATGGGCTGTTTGGAGATTCCTAGGAGGGGGGAGGGTATGCAGGGCCAGCTGGTCGGTTGAAATATGGCTCGGCAAACCAGATGTAACTTTAATATCCGGTTCGCCCAAACCAGTCTGAACTGGTAGATTCCCAACCCAGGAAGAGGGTGATGCTGCTGCGTGTGGCTAAATCATAAAATGAACAGTTGCAGAAACTGGGCATGGATAGTCTAGTGAAGAGAGGGACCAGGGGACGCATGATAGCAGTGCTCCAATATTTAAGGAACAATCCTCAAACGATCCCTAGCAATGCTGGTGGGCTCCAAAGCAATGTCCAGAGCCCAACAGGCTGCCACAGAGAGGAAGGGGTCAAGCTGTTTTCCAAAGCACCTGAAGGCCAGATAAGGAATAATGGATGGAAACTGAACAAGGAGAGATTTAACCTGGAAATAAGGAGAAATTTTCTTACAGTGAGAACAATCAACCAATGGAACAGCTTAGCCCTCGGAAGTTGTGGGAGCTGCATCACTGGAAACTTTCAAGAAGAGACTGGACTGACATCTGTCAGAAATGGTATTGAGTCTCCAGCTTGGGTGGGGGGTTTGGACTAGATGACCTACAAAGTCCTTTCCAACTCTGTTAATCTGTAATTCTAGCAAACAGGGTGAATGAGAGGGAGCTATATAATCAGTAGAATAGGTATCATAAGGGATTAATGGAATGTTTAGAGTAAGAAAGTTGCCATTTATGTGGATTTACTTTCATGACAATAGTAAGGAGCAATAGCAAGAAGACTTTGTTTCCATTCAAACCTCTTTATCAGCAGTTACTTGGTAAGCAAATCCTGTTACACTTCTGGCTTGCATGAATTGTTCCTTCAAGCATAGCCTGAAGCTCCTGGAATATTGTTTCTGATCTGGAAAAAGAGAGAGGATTCTTTTAAAAGAAGATTGAATGTATGATTTTTAAAAATACAGTCCTGTTGAGTTGAAGAATAGCAGGAATTGATATAATTCAGCCAATTATTTTATTGGTAAAGTGTCTGAAATATTTTTCCAATATATAATTAATAAACTCTGTCTATCACTTGGATGACAGGCAATGAAAATGTATAAACCATAGAATCATAATGCTGGTAAGGCCCCCTAGGCCTTTGATTCTATTTGTCTTCACAATTCAAAAACCCACATTAAAGCATTCCAGACAGTCACCTAGGCTGTGTGTGAATAGAATAAATCAGATGGAGTCTTACAATTCTTTGAATAACTGACTCCCTTGTCTGATAGTCATTAGCATGCATTAGGTATGAATTTCCTGCCATCTTTCTTCCATGTCAAACATGGAAGAATAGAGGGAACAAGCCTGATTCTTGTAACACCCACTTGATATGTTTCTCCAGTTTAAACAGGAATTACTGATGTATATCTTTTACATTTGATTTTGAGACAGTGAAGTACAGTATAAATGTAATTATCATACCACCACCAGTTAACTAACTTGCTATCCAGCATATCACAGAGTACTCTACTGAAGTAAAAAGACATCTAAAACATTTTAATAACTTGTTAAAATTACTGAAATAAGAAATAAAGTTAGACCAACAAGTGTTGCTAAGATAACCTTCATTTGATCTGATTTTTTATCATCTGATATGCCTGTCTTCTACATCGGAGGACTTCTAAGATTATCTGAAAGCTGCACAGTGCAAAATGCAGTGCTCACCAGTGCTTGTCAGTGGGTACATATTACATTTCTTTTATGGACTATGCCTTGGCTTCCTATTAAATTAAATGTAATTTAATTTTATGACTGTTGCTGATTTTAACCTTCAAAGCCCTTAATGTAGGGGTGACAAACTCAAGGCCCACGGGCCAAATCTGGCCTTCAGGGTGCTTAGATCTGGCCCATGGAACCAGCCTGGAAATAGCAAAAGACCAGCCCGCAGTGCCTCTGCTAGTGAAAATGGGGTGCAGGGGCCCACACGCAGTCCCCCCATTCTTCACCTGGACAGA